CTCCCGCTGAACAATGGGGAGGTGTTCGGCCTCGGCCTTGCCCTGCATCGCCGCCATGGCCCCCGCGTCCACTTCCGCCGGAGCACTGCGCGGACGCGAGAAGGGAGAGGAAAGGTGGACCAGGAATAGACGAATTCTCGGACTCTCGGCTGGCCATGCGCGAGTCATGGAAGGGCGCGAACTCCAGGACGAGAGGAAAAGAGGCGTCAACGGACGACGACCGCGACGGCGACGCCAATCGACGACGACGAGGACAACGACGACAGGCGAACGAGCGAGCGCAGCAACGCGAACGACGGCGACGACGAAGACGACGGCGGCGGGGGGGGGAGGAGGAGGAGGACGCCAGTGTCTCAGTGTGACCGCAGGTGGCACTCCCTTGCGGATAGGTTCCAAGGGCGCCACATTCGAGGGTTCAAAACAGCATATGATACCGTTGCTGCCCTGCAAACAGGAATCCCCAGTCGCGATCCTAACCAGACCATCCTGGGGATGGACGAGTAGGGAGATGAGCTAAAGGAAGGGTGGCACGGTATATCAACCTGATGTGGGCCGACAGTGTGAGTGCACCACTTCGATTGAAACTACGCTTTACTTTCTCTCCAAAGGGAGCTTCGTTGAGGCTCCCTGCGGAAACGACAACCCTCGTGAGAGGCAGGTACGCCAGCGCCGAGCGGGGACTTAAAGAGGGCTGCGGCAGTGAGTACACGACTGCGCCCCCTGGGGCATTGTTCGAACTCCCTCCCCATGGCGACGGTAACGCCGTCTAGGATACGCGGACCTGCGGGCATGCGGACATGCGGACACGCGGCCTGCGTCAAGCATGGGGGTGGGTGCCAGTGTGGTTTAGTTAGTTTCCTCTTCCAGCCCCCTTATTCACCTTTCGGGGGCGTTTGACTCCTCCCCCATACACCATCCCCCTGGGTCTGGAGTGGGGGGTCGCGACCTACTTAGAGCGTTCAAGACGGCCAGAAGGCATAAATCATTGATTTGACTCATGGTTGGTGCTATAATGTTGGCCTCCTGAGAAGGGGGCCCTCTTTGATCGATCTCCTCCAGGATGGCCCAAATATGGCCCCCAAGGCTCGCAAAAGTGCCCCAAAGGGCCCCTCAGAGGCGCCCAGGAGGCCCTGCTTCCAAGAGACACCCAAAAGGCTCCCCCGAGACACCAAAGACGCTGCACGAGGCCCCAAGACCGCCAAGAGGCCCCTAGGCAAGACAAGACAGGAAAGACAAGAGACAAAAGCCCGCGTCGTCAAGGAACCTACGAGGGTGCGGCGGGTGGGCGCCGGGGCGCCGGCATTGCTGGCAGCTCAGAAGCTGGCGCCAAGCGTTTGGAGCCGGGGTCGGGGACATTGGAAAAGGCGTCGGAGCCAGATTTGGACACGGCCGGAGTCGGAGCCGAAGTCGGAAAGATGGGAGCAGGATTTGGTACCTGAGTCGGAGAGATCGGGTCGGGACTGGAGTGGAAGAGTTGGGAGCCGGGGTCGAAGCCAGAGTCGGAGAGATGGGAGCCAAGACGCCTCAAGGCGCGCCAAGATGACCCCAGTAGACTTCAAGAGACATCGGCATCCGAGAAGCCTTTGGCCATTATGTTCGCACTCCTCCTCCTCCTCCTCCTCCTCCTCCTCCTCCTCCTCCTCGCCTCCGCCTGCTTCTCCTCCTCCCTCCTCCCTTGTCGCCCTTGTCCCCCTCTCACTCCCCCTCCCATCCCTACGGCGACGACGACGATCCTTCCTCCATGCTTGCCGCGGCCCCCCGCGCCCGCTATGGTGGCTTGCTGCGGCTCCCCGCGGAGGCGGCCCTCCGCGCGAGGGCGGGGCCAGGGCAGGGTACGCCCGCGCCCACGAGGGCCCTTGAAGGGGCCCTGGGACACACAAATAAATACACACAAATCACAGGATTCCCCATATTCTCCTATATTTCCTAGGTTTTTGTCTTCCCCCCCCACTTCCCACATTTTCCCATAATTTCATGGGGTCGACCATTAATTGTGTCTGCGTGTATTTTTCCCTCCTGAACCCTGCCAATCTTCCTGCGGACAAGCTGGGTCCTCGTGGCGGGTGGCCCGGGACAGTGGAACCACGCGCCCGCTGGGGCTCTGTTTCGGTTCGGCGCCGTGCGGGAGCGAGAGTCATCGCCAGGGGCGGCGCAAGGCAAGGCATGCCGCGCCCATTCGGTTTTGATGTTTTGTTCTGGGGTTCTCGGAAAGTGCCACACATGAGGGCCTCCCTCGCCTCCTCGATCAGTCGCCACCCGAAATGCTGGGCTGGCACGGCGGCGGGGCCTTGCCGCTAGCAGAAGGGCATTGAAACATTGAAGGGTCGCTGAACCCGGAGGTCCCCAATTGAATGTTGAAAACAAGCTATACGGTTGAAAACTAGCTATGAATCGCCAGTCGCAAGCTCGGCATGTATTCCAATGCCCCAAATTTCAAAATAGGTGTTCGGACTGACCCAAAGGTCAGTAGTCAATCTCTCAGTCAGTGCACGCTCGACTCGCAATCTTGCAACCATTCGATAGTTAAATCCTTTCAGAAGCTGGACGGGCCCATCTGCGAAAAGCAATTTCACATTCACATGCACCAGCGCAAGCACACACACACACAAACACATTCGAAAACACAAGCACCCCCTCTCTCTCACACACGAGCTCACGCACACACACACACACACACACACACGCACACACACACACACGTACGCACACACACAGAGAAACATACACACATGCACACACAAACGCTCACACACACACACACTCTCTCTCTCTCTCACTCACACACAAACATCCATGCACCCCTTTTGGCGTTGCGGCCGCGCGCCCAGTGACGCAGCGGAGTCAGTCAGCAGAGAGCCACAGAGAGTTGCCCGGCCGCACAACCACACGCACACACACACACAAGCAAACACACACACACACGCATTTGTTTGTTTCCGTCCAAAGCGGATGTTTCAGTCCGCACGCGGCTACCAAAGATCGCCGCTGGCGCGTCTCGCGACACGCTTGCTAAGCCACTCATTAGATGCACTCATGCTGTACCCGTGGTTGATAAAGTAAGTCGCCCACAATGGACATGGAAACCCACGTCCACCACCCACAAACATAGCAACCGACAAATTCCACGTCCCAAGATCCAGAAAGACCCAGAAATTGCTCCAACGAGGAAACTTGAAGGCAATGGAACGACGGCATACACTCCCCAGTGCAATCGTTAGCGCAAGAGCGTGAGCTTCACCGCGGCCAGGGAGCCGAACGCACCCGCGCGCACACGCACACACACACTCGTTTGCGTCGGCGGCTAGGCAGAGGGACTGCGCTGGCGAGAGGAGAACAACGGGGCACATTGGGCGAATTCACCCACCATGCAGAGGGGGAGGGATGAGGACAAGAGGCGCCGGCCCAAGAGGGGGGAGACGAAGGGGCCCAGAGAAACACACAGAAATACACGCACAAATCCCAGGATTCCCCGTATTTTCATATATATATATATATATATATATATATATATATATTCGGGGTTCTCCCTTTCACCCCCGCGTCCCATATTTTTCCCATATGTTCCTGGGAGCCGACGATCAATCGTGTCTGTGTGTTCTTGCCCCTCCTGAGGTGAAGAACGGCCGGGCCCGCTCAGAACAACCCGGGGCGGGCGCCGGGGAGGGCCGGCGGCGGCGGCCGGGAGGCTGGCGGCAGCAGGGCCGAAGATACAGCCGCGCACTCCCACACACAGAGGCTCTGGAGCGTGTGTGCGGGCCGAGCAGGGCCACGGGCCGTCCGAGAGCCGCCGCCCGGCGCGTGCGCGCCAGGCCGAGAACGGGAAGCGCGCGAGACTGCTGCAGCCCTCACGGGGCAGGACCGACGGCGAGGCCGCGGCGCCAGAACGCCGGCGGCGGGGGGGCAGCGGCAAGGGCGGGGGCAGCGACGCCAAGCGGGCGGCGCCAGGCGGCGGCGGGCCAAGCAGCGGGGAGCGGCGGCGGGGCAGCGACGGCACGGGCGGTCGCAGGTGCGGGGGGGGGGGCGGGCGGCAGGAGGACGGCCTTGCGGGACGAGAGCCGGCGCGGGGGGGCGGAGGCAAGAATCAGAGGGAGGCTCAAGGCGGAGTCCTCTCACGCATTTAGAGCTGTATCTATATATATATATACATATATATATATGTGTGTAAGAATAAATCAATATACATATATACAAGAATAAATGAATATATATATATATACACATATATGGATATAATCTGAATATTAATATCTAGCTACGCACACGCACACGCACATACATACAAACACACACACACATACACTTTTCGAGCGCGTGCGGCAGGGGCGATTCATGCGATCCAATACACTTCCGAGAAGCGAGTGCGAGCCCATCCGACTGCAACCCATGTGGAGCGCAGAGAGACGGGCGGGGTGCTGGCCGAGCTCTCACGCGGGAGGCAGCGGGGGCCGCGGCAGGCAGGAACGCGGCCGCTGGGGCAAGGATACAGTGCGAGGACGAGCCCGTGCTGCTACGTACACACTCATGATGTGGGACTGTGGGGTTGCAAGTACGCGCGCGAGGCGGCGGAGAGGAGGAGGAGGAGGAGGAGGAGGAGGAGCAGGAGGAGGAGGAGGAGGAGATACGGGCACAATCGGCTGGCGCTCCCAGTGAGAGGCACCTGCCGGGAACTGAGCAGCGAAGAGAAGGTGAACGCGGGTGAAGGAACAGCACTGGCTCTCGGAGTCGGGCCGAGACGCCCTGGGCACCCCAGTGCCATGGGCCGCACCGGATGCAGGCGTATGGAACACACACGCGCGCGCACACGTGAACATGTTCATACATCTATATATATATATACATATATATATGTACACTTAAGTTGGCCAATACACACATATATCTATACACATACATATATTTATATAGATATATATATATATATATATATATATTCATGCGCATTCCTCGGTGCCCGTGTGCGCAGAGGCACAGCGGTGGCAATTGACAGATGGACAAAAGCCGGGCCAGCGGCAAAGGGAACTCACACACACACACACATGTATATGTAAATATGTATACACACTGTTTGGCGGTAGCGGCCTCGTGCGC